ATTTTATTATTTCTAAATTCTTATAACTTTTTGGTTTATAGAAGGTAAAAGGTCGAAGGCTCAAATGCTCTCTGCAGCAGCTAGCCTAAATTTCATTGGAATAGCCGTTTCTAGACTAGTTTTTAATAAATTAAAAGATTTTAAAAACAAGGAAAATTACGTTAGAAACAAAACGTGCTTAACTACTATGTCATATCTATCCCCTTGTATGGCAGTGAATGCCGTTCTAAAGAGGAATAATGAGAGAATCATGAACAGAATATGTGAGCAACGAGGAATTTCTAAATAAAATCAAAGCTAGAAACGCACATGCTTAGTTTGTTAAAATTTCTGGGACACATTATGAGAAAGGACGCTTTCGTAAACTTGATATTCGCAGCACATCATGAGAGAAGAAGGTACAGGAAGAAACAGAAAACAGCAAATTGAGACCGTGTAAATGGATGACATGGTGTTGTGCAAGCTGATTTTCATTCTGTAATTCTGTAAAATTTTCTTTTTTCTGTTGGTGTTTAGAAGGACCACTAATGAAACTGTAATATGCTGTCTTTACATGTTGGAAATACACAGCTTATGTTGCTGACCGACTGAATATGAGAATTCCAGAGAGACAGCAGCACTCAGTTGAAATGCGATACAAAAACAGGAACTCCAACCATTGACAAAGAAATATAATTAGCCAACAAAGAAGAATATTGCATCAAATTACATTCCAATTGATAGTTAATGCCTTACAACCGATCACTCAACACACTGTACTTTGAAGACTATATTCGTTAAGTTGATGATGCTTTATTAATATATCCCTGTAAAGCTATATCAACTGATCTTGTAAATAAACTGAACAACATCGACTTATAATAAAATTGGCTGATGAAGCAGAAACAAATCCTTTCTTGATATCATGTTAAACCTTACTGAGAATGACCTAAAATGAAAATGTCTGTCGCAAATCCGCTAATAAAGATAATCTCATAATATTCAATTATTCACAATAAAAACAAAATCAGGAATATTTATCGGATTCAGCACGCAGAATTTATAGACATTAATACATACATAATGAAGAGAAAAATCTTGAAAATAATTTTAAATATATGCAACTGATAATAACTCATATTTATCTGTATCCCCCTCTTTAAAACTTTTCTCTTTAAAATTTTATTCCCCACTCTCATCTTAGACCCTATGTTTTCTTCTTCTTCTTCTCCTTCTTCTTCTTCTTCTCCTTCTTCTTCTTCTTCTTCATCTTCTTCTTCTTCTTCTTCTTCTTCTTCTTCTTTCTTCTTCTTCTTCTTTTTCTGTTACACCTCTCTCTCGAGCTTTCATACATTTCCCTCTCACCCTTGTTTTTCACTCCCACGCATACACTTTCACTGAAGTTTAAAAAAAAAATAAAAATAAAAACCGGAGATATATTTTCTATTTTCTTTTTGAATTCGTAGGTCTGATAAAAAAGAATCTTTCATATTGTATTCGATGATCCCAATTACGGTCGACTCGTAATTTGTGTTCCACAATATTTACATGATAAAGAAAATTACAATGAAAAAATAATAGAATTCCTCATACCCGGAGTGCCTCATATCCGGAATCCCTCATTACCGGATTGCCTCATATCCGGAATCCCGCATATCCGGACATGATTTTGTTATGTATATTTGAACTATTTGAATAATATACAACTGATTTGAAATTTCTGTTTTTCAGGACATTAACTTCTGATAATTGCTTCTGCTTATTTCTCCCTAATGACTTGCATTGGTGCAAAAGATGATAGGAAGAAGAGGAGAGGATGACAACGAGACATATCTGCAACAAGATAGCGACGACATGCATGATTGTGATGAAATCTGGACTGAAATTGAAAAAGCTATGGAAAAGGTTGTCAGTTTTATGGAACTCTCTTTCGGCTTAGATTAACGATCTACCTAAGAAGATTTTCCATGCAGATCATAGCACAAGCAATGGGGTAAGCTTCCCAAAATCTAAATGATCAGAACCTGTCGACCGATCTCTCATCTGATCGAGTTCTGACAGATCAACGTGGGGAAAATCGGCGTGTCATTTCCAACGCATCAAAAGCCAAGCATCACTGTGTAGATACTAAATTCTCCCCAATCACAATGAATGGTTCGATTCTAAAGCATTACCTATCTAGCGGAGGACAGAAACTCCGTTGAAAAGATACAAAAGACCCTCGTCTCCCGTGGGTTCTACAACCATCAGAGGAGAGCAAAAAGCAGCTGAAATGAGATTTAAAATGGATGAACAGATTTTAAGTATCGGACAATGAAACTATTAAGCATCTTCTTTATCGGTCCCATTTTTGAGAATTATTTTTTATGCTATTGTTCACCGAGTTCCATGTTCGAGGTTTACTGAATGGGGCTGTTTTGATGACGTATAAATCATGGATTATGATGCGTTGGATAGATAAGAGTTGACACTAGATTGAAGAGGTTAATATTGTAGAAGTCGAGAAAGCACCCTCTCGGGAGTTGGTTCTACATAGTAGCGGCTCTTGGGAAGAAACTGCCTGAATAGAATTTCATTCTCACCAATTAAATATAAAGAGAATCGTCTATGTCTCCATGGTACGGCATGTCTTAGTATTAAAAGGTCTAAACTGGTGGAACTAGGGATGTGCTCGTCAGAATTTGTTCACGAAACCAAATCATTAATACAGATATATTTTTCTATCTGTTGTGTCCCTTCAGGACGTAGATGACAGGACGTGGATGACAATGTCTCTCCACAACTTCCTCTGATTTGTAGATCATAACAAGGTGTGTCTTTTAAACTCCCCTTTCAGCCCCAGTTCTGCCATTCATTTTTGGAAGCTTGTTAGGAAGGGTACTCGTGTTTCCTTCTATCCCTCTTGCCTACTATATGCCATGAGTGTTTCAAAATTGCTGAGCCTTTTTTCCTTTAATATATGCCCAAAGAATTATCAATTGTCTCTTTCTGTTTCTAAACATAGGTTTTTTGGGTTTTTTTTTTTCCATTTTCCGTACAACTACCTCTCTGCTTACACACTACGTCCATGGCATAGCCAACATCCTTCTGGAAAACTACATCTGTTGCCATAGCGTTCCTTTTCGTCTGAGGAAATTCTCTATCATTCACTGCCATATAAGAAGATTGATATAACATAGCAGTTCAGCATTCTTATTTTTACTTCTTTTGAAATTTTCCTTCTTTGTAACATTTACTTAGCTTTTGAAAGGTATATTGTGCTATTTAGTTTTTGGAAGGTACAACTTCCTTTCATTGTAGAGGGCAATGATCATTTTTTTACTACCAAACCCTCTTCTTATTCTTCTATCCATTCGCAGAAACTAGTTACTTATGTTGTTATATACATGAAGAAGAGACTTGTGAAAACAGAAATGTGATTCTACAGAAGCATGATGAGCATACCTTGGACTGAAAAAAGCATAATTATACTTTGCATCAGGCAGAGACATTTTAAATTTATCGGAGACATAATGAGGATAGAGGGCTTAGAAAATGTGATACTCAGAGGACATATTGAAGGCAAAAGAGACAGAGGAAAGCGCGTGACCTACCCAACGAGCTTTTCTAAAAACTACAAAGTACCGGAAGTTTTGGAGAACCATTATATTCCATGTCCTGAAGGGACGCGGCAGATAGAAGAAGATGTTTAGTATTTTACTTGATTTTCTATAAAATACAAATCAACTGATATACGGTTTATTTTTTCTCTTGTGTTAGGACTCGTGAAAGAGATTTGTTTATTCAACAAAGCGGCGTTTTTTAAATGGTCTCTGTGCAAGAGAAATGGATTATGATAGGTCTTAAAATAAACGTAGAATGTGTGCAGTGAACTGAAAAAAAAGGGATTTTATCGTTTTTAAGAAAAGAGTCTATATGAGTGTTGCCATATCTAGTCGAGATTCACCACAAAATTCAAAAATATATTTGCAATATTATCGGTCGTGACCTGGCATCTCGACTTCAGTCACATTCCCACTGCTGTAACGCGGCTTCTCTCTGTCCTTTCGATAAATATTTTCATAAGATTATTTACATTATTCGGACTATTGTCCTCATCTTTTCCGCCATATTTATCACAACGTTTCGGCCGTTGTACGCTCCGGTCTTCTTCAGGTGGTTGGAATGTCGAACTGAACCCTTTATTTCGCTCACTGGGGTAGACAGTTCTAGTTCCACGTGCCATGTTTAATGGATGTCAGTTGTCAGATATCTCCTGTTCGACATAGTCCGAATAATGTAAATAATATACATAATACATCTCAGAAATATAGACAGATTTTCATAACAGTTGTTCTAATGAGCTCTTCTCCTTGGTACCACGACATTATGAATTTGAACGTACTACTAGATTGGCAATTAGGTCTCATCAGTTGAAACAACTAAATATAATTGTAAGTTCTATTTTAATACTTTCTTTTCTCGTATATCTCACTGTGTTGTATCGTGAAATAGATAAATCGATAGACATATAAAAACTAGTAGCAATTTATTCCGATAAAAAATACGGTACTAACAGCCGAGAACACAATCTAATGGAATAACAGATAATCGTGAACTTCACCTCAGTTCTGTTCAACATTGGTATTTATCCGATGCCCCCCCCCCCACAGGGCGGAATGTAGCACAAGGCCTGTTTTTTAAAGTGGGCATTCCGTAGCCCGTAGGCTCGAGGGAAAATTCCCCGTAGGCTCTGTATATCCGGGGTCGGGTTTGTCGACCTCCCCAGACGAGACTCTGCCCTTCGGCATAGCCTCTTCGTGATTCGTCTCTGCCCGGAGGCGGAGAGTCGACAATAAGAGAGCGTCCTATTTATTTTTTTAGATTAGTATATTTTGGGGGAGGGGAGAGGTACCCCACAACACACTGAAACACCAATAGCCAACTACTGACTTCATGAAATCTCCTTTCTCCTCAGTAATTTCTTCTCATTCTATTGCACTCCAAGTAACCTTTTGAGTCTTAGTGACATTATAACGGCA